CACTGAATTAAGCTTATTTGAGTGTTTGAGTAGTTTGAACATGAGAGTCTACTTTTAGAATCTCTCCTTAAATGAAGTGTGTCATTTAAACAGCATCTTTTAAAGCTTAGAAGAGCTTTAAAAGCTTTAAAGAATAAATATCAAATGGGAATGTGTATCAGCTGATACTCAAGGATTCAATATTGGTATCATAATGTGAAAAAGGAAGCATCGTGCTCTCCATTTGTGACACAATTAACATTAAAAAAAAAATAAAAAATAGCTTTCTTAGTTCATGTTCTGCACAAATCAACATATGCAACAATAGTATTCAGTAAGTAGAAGAGTAGATTAAACTACTCAAATGGTCAAGGCCTGCTGGTAGGTCCAGATTTCCATTCCTCACTCTTATAATTATGAATTACACATTTAGTTGCATGTAAATACTAAATAATAAGCTTGTAATAAGCATGGAAATTTAAAAGGGGTATGATAATTGACCTATTTTTACAATCAGTGGGTCAAAAGTCAATATTTTATGTCTTAAAGTAATACTAGCCTTGACACTACAGAGCTACAATCATATACACACATTAAAGTGGCCCTGGTCAATTTACATGTTTTAATCTAAGTGAAAATAAGTTAACACATCCTCTGCAGAAAACACACTTTTGCACATTTTAAGTGTCCAATTACTGTTTATCTGCTGAATTGAACATATTTGAGGAAGGGGGGGCATTGATTGTGGTCATAGTTCAGCAAATAAGTAAAGATTGTGCACTAAAACTTATACTAAACTCATACTTAGGTTTGTTCCCTGTAGTTGGTGTGTTATTTTTACTTAGAACATTAAAATGTAATGAAGTAATGTAATTTGTAATGTAATTTGACTAGAGGAGTTCTAACATTTGCATATAACTATACTATTCTAAACTACACTGACTGGTTTGACTCAGATAAACCATAATTAATTTTCAATGCCTGCTACACAGGCCCAACAAAATAAGCCCCAATAACTGCAATTCATAGAATTATAAGTGACTTAAAAAAAAGCACAGTCATTTGAGGGTGGGTGCATGCATAGTATAAGCACCTCTCTGCCGACTTTACTCTAATAGGATGTACCCAGAAACCTCGTTCTGATCATTGACAGTAATTTCTATGAAAGAGAAAGAGACCAAATGACACATTAGCTACGCGGTTTTAAATGTTGATACACTATTTTAAATGTTTATTTTTTCTGTTTTTTCAATAGTATATTTTAATTGTTAAATCCTTAGAATTCATGGTGTAAACAGGCAGCAGTAGTTGTTTTTCGCCTCAGCCTTAAATTCCGTGGTACGTCTCACCCCTCTTGCAAAGGCACATGTTGCTGCATGGACTAGAAATCGAAGTGATGGAGCACACAGTCGGCTTTAGCCTTAAAACATCAGTGAACTGAAAGATTTGATGCAGTACAGCAGCACACACTGTTCACCACACCACAGGACTCATGCTTAGATGCCCACAGCACTGTTCTGTAGATGGCAGTGGGAAACTGTAGCACATGCTATACGTGCATTCGCTGTTTGTGAGAGCAAAACCAAAGCCACAAGGGCAGGAAAGGTTTGACTCAGACCACAGTATCTTCAGCTCCTGCTGGATCTGCCGATTAGTTCATACTATAAGCTTCATATACTTATGGATATATGATAATATCAATAACAATTCATCTTTTCTTGATAGTATTACCCTCTACATTAAAATTCAAAGCAAAAGCAACACTCAAGACTTCCCTTTTCTATAATAAAGCATATTTGTCAACTGAACCACACTTCCGCTTGATTTAGCCCCAGCAAATGGATTTATTCTGGGTTAGTGGTGTTTATCCGGTTCGTTGTGCGGGCATAGTCAGCTGGGAAATATGTGAGGAGCAGACCCAGTGCACCAGAATGGATTAGAGCACAGAGCCGTTTCTCCCAGCAGCGCTCCGGCTTCTCCTGGGGAAACGCAGGAGGTGAGAGCTACGACTGTGGTTGGCTAATTTAAGGCATTAATAAATAAGACTGACACCTTCATTTCCCTTAATGTCTTAATTGCACAGATTTGGCAAAGGGTGGAGATAGGGAGGGAGACAGCTGGGAGAAACTGAGTGCGCTTTAGGATAGTTTTACATTCAGAGATTGATTTCGCAGAGCAGTAGTGTTCAATTGGCCTCTCCAGCCCTTGCGGCTGTGGGATGTGTTGTTTGCCTTCTCGACTGAAAACGTGTTACAAAGGAGCAGTGCCGTGAAGCGTTCACGAGACGTTGTTTATTCTTGCTAGTGTAAGGTGAGACATCAAAATGTGGATGATATTGCTTAGAGAAGCAAATCCCAGTTTGTATGTGTATTTATGACAATGAGGCACAGCTTGTAATTATACAGCAATGGAAATTATTCCTCTTGGGTTTGCATGAGTATTAACATCTTAACTGCTGGCTTATTATTCCGTTACTAAGGCTAATACTGATCTAGATTATTCAGTAGCCACCATGGCACGAGCATCTGATTTTGTTTGGAAGTGGGAATTGACAGCTGAGATAGTAGCTACAATGTTTGCTTATTGAAGAGTTAAAGCATTAATTACTGACAATTATAAAAAAAAAAACTAAAAAAAATTCTAAAAACCAACGAACAGTAATTAACACTGCATTAGCTAGCAGCATATCTTGTTAGCTAACTTGATAGATTTAGCAAGATGCTAGCAGGAGGAAAAAAATTCAGGAAAAACATGGGCACCTTACATAGTTTAGAAGTGGGGAGGTAAAGCTAGTAGCGCTTGCTTAGCTAAATCCAATAAAAATATTGATTACTGTCAATAATAAATAATCAAAAAAAAAACTAGCAAAAATGAGATCATGCTAATTATAAAATGAATAGTACTGGTCCTAAAATTTGATTGGCTAAGCTGCATTTGAAGCTGTTGTAAAATATATAATCACACCTATCCGCCTCACAACTTAATGCGTCACGTCATGAAAAATCCCTAATCTTTGACGTTTATGTTGCTTGCATGGACCACCGAATGCACTGATGAAGTAAGAACTTGTTTTTTTGTTTAAACTGACGGGCTTACAACTTATTTTCTTAACTGGAACTAGTCAGCTAGCTAACAAGCTAAAAGATAGCTAACAGCCTGAGCAACTCCATCATTAATATCACAAGCTTGAATTAAAAGACTTACAATATGATTTGCTGTAAACCGCAATATAAAAGTCTAAAGAATGTCACTTGAATGGCTTACATGCTTTAAATGTCCGTGTTTCTGTCAGAAGTCACGTCTGTACTCCCTAAGTAGTGTGCTAGCTATAGATGGTTTTTGAATTTCTAGCTTCTACAGCCAAACAGTGCACTATTTGTTGAGTATGGATGAGGCTGAATCCCAAATTATATTTAATGACTATTTTTAATAGCTATTTTATAGCTACATCATGCACTGCTGGAGTGTAGAAGCCAGTATTTAAATTCCTACATAGTGCACTATGTAGGAAGCAGTGCTCTATTTGAGATTTAGCCCCAGCATGAGAAGAAGGGCGCCACTGAATGGCGCTATGTAAGACCTGCGTTGGTAATTTGATGACCAAAAAGTACTTATAAAGTGCATATTTTTGCATTAAACAGTGCTGTGTTATGATATGTTCATTATTACATGACAAAAAGTTAAAAGGTTAATGAAATGACCGCAGTTTACACTGATGGGTGAACAAACATTCTTCTCTGCATTCAGCAGTCCATGGTTGCTCGGCAATGATACCATACGTGAAAGGAACGACATTTCTTGGCGGAAAACTTGTTTATGTCAATTATTATTATAATAATCAATTTTTTTTTTTTTAAATGTGTATTTTATTATTACTCTGCCTCGTGTCGTGCCTAAGAACACCCTTTCCCCATGATAAAAATTGCAGTATTGTATGGCCTATCGTGGCTTATTGCTTTGGTAGCCAACTAATGCTAGCTAAAAACAACACCTGGCTAGCTATCTATCGAGAGTAATATTAGCAAGATGCTAGCAGGAAAATAAATATCTTATATACATTTTTAAGACTAATACCAATTTAGTAACTACTGTTCAGCATGGACAAGTAATTTCGAAGTGCTGAAGCAAGCTAGTGGAGAGAATAAGTCAATGCTTGTTTAGACGGGTCACATAAAACTATTAATTATTGACATTTATAATACATAATCATAAAAAAAACTAGCAAAGTCTAGATAATGCTAGTTAGCCAAACATGCTAGCTAAAGCCACCACTGTATTTATTGGCTAGCTAGCATATCTAAATGGTTCTTTGGAGTGATGTCAGTGAAGAACAACATTTGGTTTTCTTAAGGACTTTTCAATGGATTATTCTTGAAAGAACCATTTTTGGTAAATGTGATGTGATCATTAAACTTTCATGACTCCACATAATGTACAAGTTCAACACTTATTAAAGATTTTTTCTACAGGTGCATCCAAGCCAAGAACCATTTAAGAACCTTTAAACTCATATATTAGTCTGAAATTGTTTGTGGCCAAAGCAATCAGTGCTTCTGTTACCAACACAACAAATTCACAAAACGCAGCCTTAATATTTGTGTATACACATACTGTATATACATACCTTTATATTTGTGTCTGTGTTTCAGTCTGTCTCTCGTGAATCTACTCTGCTGTGGTGTGCCATTACAGACAGTCAGCACCTTGTGCTGCACAAAATTAAATTTCTCAGCAAAGCAATGTCTCTGTTTTCCTTTTCATTTTAACTCAATAAAAAGATCATTTTATTACACTTGTGCTCATGCAGTTATTGACACTGAAAGGAGCAGAAGTGTATATGTCTGTCAGTGATCTACATGCTCCACTGTACAGGAGTGTCTTTGTGCAGTCTGTCGTTATGAAAGAGAGTGAAGAATGGAAATCTGGATCCACTGACAGCTCCTTAGACTTTAAGGGTTTGATAAAGAGAATGCTAGTTTATGATAGACTGCAGCTTGTGTGTAATGCTGTGGTCAGCTCACCTGTGGCCGGGGGTGTCCAGTCACCAGGCAGGTGAGCTCCAGGGTCTCGCCCTCCCGAATGGTATACACCCTCTCTGTGTAGCGCTCCTCCTCTACGTTACACGCATGGCCTGAATGCACGATCCGGACAGTAGGGGGAGCTGTGGACAGAGCACAAGCAAATAGCAAAATGTAAGCAGTTGAGTTTTCAGAAAAAAAAAAAAAGAAGAAAATCCCAACCTATCAGTCGGACCATCAACAGTCAGTCAGGAAGACGTCTGAAATTGGAAGGGAAATAACTGCTGATAAATTTGAACCTGTCTTGTTATTCTGTCAGCCACAGAGCCAGTACTGGGAATTAGATAAATAGGTATGCTGCTCTTTTCTGTCCATTTATCAATAGACACATTTCCAGTGACAGACACTATCAACCAAGGGATCTTTTTGCTATGCTTTTCAATGCTTTGATTCCAACATTAAGGGCTGCAACAAATGTTATTGCATCATCAAATGGGCACTTAATGGCACTGTCTGCTCTTATTATACAATGAAGGACACTGCTTGCATAAAAGCAGAGAGCAGAAATACAGAGGCACACTAAAGTGCATAAAAATAACCTTTGTTTACTAAATTTTAAATGCACTTTATCTTTTTTGTGGATATCATTGAAAACTCATGGGAAAATGACCAACACACAGTGGCTATGCTGTTAAGCATGTTCTACATATGAAAGCTCAGCTGCATAGTCAACGAAAAAGATATGAATCAAATCTGACAACCTCAAGAACACAGAGAGACAAATTACACAAATAATAAAGACATATGACAAATACTCTCTGTGAACACTTTAAAATTATCAAACACTAACACCAATGTGAAAGTCCATTATTAAGTAATTAATCTTATGGTTTAAAGAGCAGTGAAGTTTTGAACACTGGCACTCACTGAATACCTCTGGCAGCTTTTGGCCTTTCATCCTTCCTGTATCTTCTTGTCTTAAGACCAGTGCTCTACAAAAGCAGGCTTGAGACTAATGGCAAAAGCCTGGGAATGGGATATTTCTGAGGGATTTACCTTCAGAGAATCATGGTTTAGGGGGGTTTCCTACTTCTAGAAAGGAGAGAGTTTTTCATTCCCAGGATTTCAACAGGTAAGTGGCACCGCTCATGAAATTTTCCCAAAAGAGACTAGTCCTCTTTTCACATCCCCATTCATATGAACAAATATCACACACTTTCACAACCCAATCCAGTCTGCAAGACTAGTATCAAAGCCAATCAAGGCAGAGGATTGTATATCAACTATATTAAGCCTCACCCAATTCCAGTCCTTTGTTAAGGCTGTTTTACCCCACTGTGCTCTATCTATGCCTCTGTTGTAGAAGTGATAGAAACACACATTCCATGACTTGCAGCAGTGAGGCATGTTTTCAGAAGTTAAAAAGTGGTCTAAGGACATTATTTCACTGCAGAAAGTACCAGAACATTTGGCACCAGTAAACTGGAAGGCTTTTTCTATTCGACTTAGCAGCAAAAGTTCCAGTATTAAGGCTTTTGTTATCCAATATGGTTATGAGTCAATGCAAATACGAGTCGAATATGAGCGAGACCTAAGTAGAGAATTTTAGTTGAATCTTGTTACTAACTGCTTACTAAAACACTTGCTAGATTGGATGCAAACAGCTAAACTAGCTACTGCGTCCTAACTAAACTAACTACTAACTTGAGTCTGAGTCGTTCACTTGAGTCCCCATTTCTGTTGGTACATGCACAATTGGTACTAACAGGACCTAAAAGTACTCAAATGTTCTACTCTGTCTTTGGTAACACTTGCAGCTGAAACCAGCAACAATATGCATCACTAAAGTTTACCAGAATGTAAATCAGAATTGTATGTCGAAGTAGTGACTGCTATTTTTAAAATGATCACATTGTAAGGAGATGGTGATACCAGTTAGAAGGATGACCAGGGTGTTCTCAGCATACTTCAACTTTTACTAACTTTAATGTACTTGTCGCTGCATTATTTATGAAAATATAAACATCAGCTTAGGAGCCTGTATCAGCAAATAATACTAAAACATTTGCATTGGGGTTGAAGGCAAAAGAAGAGAGAGAAATGATTAGGATATTCTTAGTTGGCAGTGATACAAAATTCAAATTCTGAAACGATGCATAAATTACTTTGCTGAGACTAAAAATAAATAAATGCAACATTGCCCACTTAATGTTGTATGTATACCACTTCTAAAACAAACCTGTTACTTTCATAAATGTGACTCTGTATGCAGTGATCATAATGATGAATAGACAGTGGACATGGACAATGACGGACACTGATGTAGTGAAGTTTTTCTGTCATTCAGCAAGGAGAGATGGAGATATGGAGGAGGGGTGAAACAGGGTGAGGCAACCCCTCTTCACCTTCCCTTCTGCCAGTTTACTAATTCATGAAAGCTCCAGGAGACAATTATGGGCTTTGTGGAGGTGCGTGAGGGAAACAGGCTGGTTTTTGCTCAGGTAAAGGAGTGTAGAGGAGCTTCCCCAGAGGCCCTGTGTGCTGCTGCTAATAAAAGGTGAGAGGTCTTTCCCTGTGGTCTGGGGAAGCCGTCTGTGCCTTTTTACCAGGTATAGGGTGACTGGAACGCTTCCTAACACCTCTCTTTCCCACCTGAATCTCAGCCCTGGCTTGGTGGCAGAGGTGGGTACAGCGGCTTCACTCAAGCAAAAATATTATTACTTTAATGAAATAACTCAAGTACTTGAAGTTTAACAATACATACATTTTCAAGTTCAATACCATTTCTCAATTTTTTACGTGTTATGTGTGATTCTACAGAGCGTTAATTACATAGGCTATTACACAGATTGATTTGGCTCAAATAGGGTGCATAGCATAAACCCCTCTTCCTCCTTGCTCACTTTATTTTGACAGGATGCACACCAATGTCTAGTTTTGATCATAGACAGGGGTTGCCATGCCTGACAGCAACTGAGAGACCCCCAGAAGAGACTGAGGGGTGTATTAGTAATACAGTTTTAAACTTGATACACTGTTTCAAACATTCATTTTTTAGATAAACATATTCAATTTTTACTGGATTGAAGTCATTTTAATAGAAGAAGAAATACAGAATTAAATTATACTGAAAAAAAGAATTAGGAACTCAATGTAAATGATTAGCATTTGGAAATCTACATTTTACTCGAGGACATGCTGCTGAGTAAAAGTAACTTCTAAACAATTTTATAAAATATGGGCCAAACATGCTAAAGAGAGCAAAGTAAAAAGGCTAAAAGAGAGCTAGGCTAAACTGCCTCTCCAGTAATATTCAGTTTTAGGCTTTGAACTGGAGCATTTACCAAATAATTCACTGTAAAACTGCAAAACAAAAAGAATATCACTGCTGTCGGAACAAAACCTTACATCTCTGTCATTTTTCAGTTTTTGACATAATTTGAAAATGCCTGTAGTCCTTTACATTGTGTATAATTTCACAATGAATGGACCAAAAGAGACGACCCAAAATGACTTGGAAAAAAGTCTGGTTCCATTGGCTTACATTAAAAGTAAAGTATTTTTTTTCCTTCTCCTGAAAAGTTACCATTTTGGAGATACAAGCTTTTGTTCCGACAGCAATGATATGTTATTTGAATGTCTTACATGCTTCAAATGTCTATGCTTTTGGTTAGATCTGCCTAAGTAGTAATAGACCCAGAATGGGAAAACCAGTGCCGGGCACAATTAGCTTTATGCTAAAACAATATAGCAAAGCACATTGAGGTGATAGCTGAATTTAACATTATCGTTGTGGTGGTATCCACTTCGCACCGTGCATAAAAACACCCATATCCATGATAAAGTCACAGTAATGTGTGACTTCAGATGCCTTATTGCTTTATTTAAATTGCAGTGTTTACTGGAAAACAAATTAGGCAAAGCATGACTAACACCAAACAAACACCATTACTTAAAACACAAACACCACATGATGAACTGGTGTTTGCTTGATGTTAGTGAAGCGTTCAATTTGTTCTTAATTAGGAGAACAGCACAACTAAACACTGTAACATGTTTAAAAAATGTGATAGAAAAATATTTGAAACCTAAACATTTGGACATTCCACCTCTGATCAATGACCACAGTTTTAGTGTTTATTCCAGAAGCAAATCATACCAAAGCCAATCCAAACGAACCAGTTACCCAGGGACGGTCCTTAGCCATGCTTCTTATCCCACACATGGATTAGCTTCTTTCCTTTCCAAAGAGAACAGAGAGATTTGAGCATATGACGGAGTGGGTGAGGTTCACGCTAGGCTGGAGCTTAAGACAAAAGAAAGCTCAGAATTAGACCCTAGGGCTCCACACAAACAAAGTGTAATACATTTTATTCCACTAAGCCAACATCCTTGCTAGATACCGTCAGACCCAAGACATAGACCAAGCTGTCTGAGCAAACCGGAGCGGTGCTGGTGATTAATAATGATTGAATGCACAATTATCAATATGGGAATCAGTATTCTGCAGCTTTGCTTTATGGTTACGAGCACAATTTGCCAATACTTGAATTACAACCACCTTGGCGAACTCAATTTATTTGAATTGCAAATAACAAGACTGACGTTAGCTCTTAATTGAGTCACACTGTTGAAAGTCAGAGTAAATATAGGTTCCCGATTACAACAGAGAAGAAGCTATTAGCATAATGCTGATAGTCAGAGGTTAACTAAGGTCAGATCAACTTCCCTGCATGTCACATGCATTACATTTGATTTACAATGAATAGATTTTGGTTTTATCACTACCCTAAATAAGTGAACATTGCAAGTTCCATTCATGTCAGAACCATGCAACTCAGCTACTTGTGCTCAAGTTAAAACACTCATTTGGAAATTTATACGTGTGCTAGGTTGACTGGAGAGCAGGTCAACTTAATGTTAGCATAGTTAGTACACTTGGAAAGGTCAGTGTCTTTGTAGTGTGGAGCATAAAAATGGAAAGGAAGAGGCCAGAGGGCATCAGTGAGCCCAGCTGTGCCCATGCCTATGACCCTGGGCTAATAGTGACATGATTTCCTTACTGTCTAAGCACAGTGACAGGAGCTCCAGGCCAGTCCCACTGGAGAGTCCTCACACAGAATGGAAACAGATTTATCCTATA